GCACTTTATTTAAAAGCGATCCTCATTTTGATATCTATAACCAAATTTCATCATTAGGGCGCGCATCAAGGTTGGCGATGCGATCGTGCATTTTTGCGAAAACGTTGAAGTAAACAGATTGTTAACAGCAGACGATCGTTACTTAACAGCTTAACATGTGAACAAATGTTGGCAGTGTTTCTGACAATTTGTTTCGATGGTTTTACGCTCTCAAACTTGCCGTGTACATACATTAGACGCAGGTGTTTGTAAAAGGTGATATTGCTGTTTTCGTCCTCGACAGATGTGTGTACACCTGCATAAAACTTGTGCTTTCTCATCTATCTGTTTGCTGAATGAGAAGAATAACGGAAAGTGTTGCAGTTTGAGAATTTAATGTGTCTATGAGTGGGTATGCGTATGAACAAAAGCTTATTTTAAGCTTACAGGCTCGCACATGGACAATGGGCATTCTCATAAAATTGTGGCTTTACTACTCAGTCGGGTTGCAAAGTTGAAGCGGTGCCATATTGTTCAGAATTTTTATTTTACCTGGGCTAACGCGAGACGTAAGCGTACTATAAAGTTGGATTGGATGATTTAAGTTACAGATAGCTGGCAGTCATACATACTCGTGCCTTGACTGATTCCGTAAATTGCTTCTTCGCTGTTCCCACTAAAACTTTTAACTGTCCTTACGTGAGGACCATGTACAGCTGGAGACTCAGTTTGAAATATTTAAGTTGTACCTGGACAGAGAACATTCCCCTAAAATTTTGGCTTCCTAGCTTTTTTGGTTGCCGAGTTAGTAATTTCCCGTCAAAACTTCCATACGCCGGTGCGTGAGTACTACGCATACGTGGGGGCTGAATTTGAAATTTTTATCTCACACATGCACAGAGAATATCCTTGCAAAGTTCGCTGTCTATTCTTTTTGGTTCCCGAGATCGCTTTCTCGTCAAATAATTTGCATATTTTTTAAGGCATCCGTACGCGGCACCCAGGTGCGCGCAGGTGATGATATTAAAACGGAAAGGTCATAACGTGGTGGAGATACTCCCGGAGTTTCAGCCTTCTAGCACTTCTGGTTCTCTAATTAAAAGTGGGTGACAAAAAGTGCGAACACACAAATACACACACAGGGACAGCCTTTTGCCAATTTTGCGTTTTTGCACTTGCATATATGCAAAAACGCACAAAAATGGGGGTCACATGCAGGTTGTAAACATTCTTTAAAAGTTCCAGCTTTTCTAGTTGTTACGTTAAGGTGGATGACAAAAATGCAAACA